AAATTGCCCAGAGACGTTGTGGCTGCCCCCTCCCTGGAGGTGTTCAAGGCCAAGTTGGATGGAGCCTTGAGTAGCCTGATCTAGTTGAGAGGTGTCCCTGCCCATGACAGGGAGGTTGGACTAAATGATCTCTAAGGTCCCTTCCAGCCTAGGCCATTCTATGGTTCTATATATTCTAGAAATATTTTTTAGTAATGGGCCATACAAAAATAGATCGTGTCGCCTATAAGGTTGGAAAAGAGAGAAAGTTATCACTGTCTAACTAGCTGCCTAGTCTGATGATACCTATAATTAGCCATGGCAATCTACAGCGAATTTGGTAAATGCTCAAGGCTTCCTATCCAAGAGTAGGACTAGATCAAGTGTGTTGCCCAGCATCACTGATGGGGCTTTTTCTGCGTTAATGAAGAGGATAGTAAAGATATTTGAATGTTGCTCTGTAACCAACAAGTCATGCACTGCCAGTTATATCCTGTAGCATTTGTGCTGAGAAATAAGATACACTAAGTGTTACAAAGTGTAAATGTGGTAAGAAGTACACAAAGCTGGTTACAATTGTTCTTTTGTTCTTGTTTTTTTTTGTCTAACATTTTGAGTTTCTTAGGAAAAGACCAGAAGATAATATGGAAATCTCTTTGCTTAAATTTAGGGTGTAGCTGAGAATCCCATGGTGAAGTCTGTTCTTGATAAAACCAAACATTCAGTGGAGACCATGATCACAACACTGGATCCTGGCATGGTTCCATATATCAGTAAGTATTTGTGGCAAACCAAGAAGTAGTACATGTAATTGTTAGAGGGGTTAATATAACAGTATACTGCTTTTACACTTGAAATTTGTATATGGAGTGTGTTAATTCAAAGTACAATACTGCACTAATTTATCAAGTGTATTGCCTGATGATACTCTTACTCTGGAGGCTGAAATTTTATGTTTGTCTTGAGATTCATTAGACATTTGTGTTCTGTTATAGTTCAGATAATTGGATGGTAATGTTCTTTAATTCAGGTTGTGAAAGATAAGTTATAGAGAAAGAAGAAACAATGAAGAGAGCTTGTCTGTAATCCATAAATTCCATACTGTTTTCTCCCACTGTGTCTCTATTTAAGGCTTATGGAGGTGAGTTTAAAATATACTGCATGTGTTCTGTTGGAGCCCGTGCTTAAATACTACTGTGTAAGCTGTCACATTAAAGTTAGAAGCCAAAAGGTAGTCATACTTAGAGAGGCATAGGATGGAAGTATCTACATGGTTTTTGAAGCTTTCTTCTGACTTTCAGCTGTTATACTTTTCCAGCCTAATAGTATATATACTATTTTTAGGAAATTTACCAAACTTCCTGAATCAATTAGTAGGCACATTAAAATTCTAAAATGGTCTAATGAATTCTGAAGTATTGCTGAGAATTGAGCCTGGAAGAAGAAACACAGCATTTCAATTACAGCTTGAAAATTAATAGGAAGGAGAAGCATTGTGGTATTCACGTTTTTTTTTTCTTTTACCAGACTACATTGTATGTCACATACAAGTGATGAGAGATTTCTACTTCATTAAAATGGGGAAGCAAAGGATACAATATGTCCAGGGTGGTGTTTTAGTTTTGTTCTTGTTCGTTTACTTCCAGCAGTTATCCTTCATAGTTGTGCCAGTACTGCCCTTTGTCTGCCTGTAGATGAAGCTAGTCAGGAAACTGATAAGGCTGAGAAGAATCTTTCAAAATGCTTTTGCATTTTGTTTTTCTGAGCTGTTTTTCAGCTGGAGCTGTTCTGTGATCCCGCTAACCACATTGCTGTGCACTGCTGTACTCATCTGGTAGACAATATGTGAAATAAAAGAGGAAGATGACCTAATTATTGAGTAGTAGTTAATTGTCTTATGTATAAGGGTAAAATATCCCAGCCAGCTACTAGTGAGGAGATAGTGGCATATGAAATCAGTGAGGCCAGCCAGCAACTGAGAAAGTATTTGAGGGGAGTAGCAGGATGCAATGCAAAGCTACTGTAAATCTTGGTTATGCACAATACAGCAAATTGTAGTTAACGTTTCTGTTACAGTCATGACTATCCCTTTTTAAAATAGTATATCAGTATCCAATGATAGTTTGCATAGTTTCACATAGTATTCATTGAGCAGAACAACATTACCTAGAGAGGGAAGTAATTCTGATAAAATGCTTTGCTTGTAAGATACAGATAGAGTAAGCAACTTCAGTGGTTAACTCAAAGTTCTCTGACGTCGTGTTGAAAGGAAAAGCATCTTGGCTATTAATTTTTGGGGTTTTTTTGTAGTTACAAGTTGTGGAATTAGGACAGAGATTTGTAAACTTGATATTTACTTCCTTCTAGAAATGTTTTCTGGGATCAGCAGAAGCCATGTCCTTAAGAAAAAGTAGCCCCATCTCTCTCTGCTGTCTCTTCACTGCTGCAATTCCAAACAAATTTCAGATTCCTCATGCCAAAGCCTGAAATTAAGCCAAAGCTTCTGAATGAAGTGGTTCGAATTTTTTGGTATATGCGTGAGCGAATAGCATTTCTGTACTATCTTCCTTGAAAAGAACTGCACTGTTTTCATTGACACATTGTGAAACTGTCATCTGAGGCAAGCACCTGGGAGAGAAAATTTCTGTGTGCACAGAAAATGGTCACTTTGTGAGCATAAATATCAACACTTTTATAACAAAAGATGACTTGGAGTCTTAAATTGCATGTGGAACTGTCATTTCATTTTTTAATAGACAAGGTACAATGAAGTTTCATATTCAAGTGTCAGAGCTTAATGTGATAGTTCTGTCTCTGAATTTATGAGGGTATATGTAAATCTTCTATTTTAGATTTCAGTATTTTCATGTTACTATAGTGTGTGACCGATCTTGTCACAAATTTACTTTTAATATATATATAATTTTTGTTTCCCTTCTGTATTGTCTGTGATGAACAAAGATATTCTTTTGATGTATGATGATTCCTAATACAAAAGAACATAATCAGTATTCTGCTATTGCAATATGCAAACATGGGACACAGTTACCATTCTTAAGCTATGTATGAGTTAATTTTTAGTTGCATTAAAAACTCTTAAAAAATTTTTCTACCACTGGGCACTCAAACAAGGCTATCTTCAGCAAAAGGCTCCAGACAACCTTTAGAACTTTTTTACTTACATTAACTTGATTTCTGTCAAGAAGGAATCAATGAAAAAAGATACTTTCAATACTTTTTTTGTTCTGTTGTTACTCAGTATTTAAAGCAATTGCCCAGACTTCAGTGATGTATACACTCAATTCCGTTCAGGAAAGCAATTGATATAAAGTTTAAGAATAGCCTAAAAAACAAATAGAATTTTTTACTACTGTTCTGGCATATCTTTGATGATTCTTCATAAAAAGAGAGTAAAGATGACGTTTCCTTTAACTGAGGTCTGCTGAGTAATATGAGCCAAAGAATAAATTGTTGCTTTCTTTAAAATTTAAGCTTCAAGCTTTTTATCAATGGAGGATTTTTTCTTACATCAGGGTAAGTACTGCAGTCTTTGTCAGCATGTGTAATTAAGTGGAGTGTTACTGTGTAGAACCAGAACCACTGGGATCTGTTCTTTTTTCTTTTGAAAGGAAGCTTGTCGTGTTTCTGTACAGTCAGCAGAGCTGAGAAATAACGGGTTAAAAGGCTGTTTCTTCTCTGGTTTACTACTATTGACTTAAGACATGCCCTGCTAGATCACAGAATCATGAAGTGCTGCAGGTTGGAAGGGATCTTTGGAGGTCAACTTGTCCAACCCCCAACCTTCAGCAGGGCCACCAACAAGTCGCCCTGGACTGCATCAGGGCAGCTTTTGTGTCAAGGCAGTATTTGCGTATCTCTGAGGGTGGAGACTGCTGTCTCTCAGAGCAACCTGTGCCAATGCTCAGCCAAAAGCTTGTCTTCTACTCTTGGAAAAAACAAGATTTTCCAGATATTTTTATGGCATCTCTTGCGTTTCAATTTGTGCTTGTCACTATTGCCTCTGGTCCTGTCACTAGGCACTATGAGGAAGAACCTGCCTCAGTTCTCTTTGCAGCTTCCCTTTAGGTATATATACACACATCAGTAAGATTCCCTGGAGTCTTTTCTTCACCAAGCTGAGCATTCCCAGCTCTGTCAGTCTTTCAGCATTGAAGAGAGCTCTGTAACAGTGATTAGTGTAGCTCGACAGCCCGATTCAGCAGATGTAACAGGAGATTGCTGTATTGTAAATGAGAGTAGATCTATTGGCTTCTGTAGCCCTTGTACCCCTCCACTGTCCACAGCTATTGGACTAAGGATTGCAAGAGGCGTGTCCATGCCTGTTACTTTTAGTGCCTGCTTGTGGCCATGTCCATTACTTTGTCTGTTAGACTTGCTGATGCAGTTTACTTATGTAGCTTTCTCTGATGTCATATTCCATGTTTGAAAAAAGATATTCTTAAGAAAGCTTATCACAGCAGGGACAAGTTTTATGAGATATTTTTGCATAAATAAAGTTTGACAATAACAATGATCCAGCTATGATAAAGACAGATATGAGGTGTAACTGAGCTCATCATTCTTTTGTAGTAGTTTTAGATTTCTTTTACTTCATGAACTTCATGAACTAAAAAAATTTAGTAAAAACTCTTACTTGTTTATGAAGATACCACTATATGGAAATAATCTAGAAATACTTAGGTTTTTTGTTCCGTAGGTATTAAATATCTAAAAACAAGGTCAAACTGTAGAGAGGCAGACACTGAAATTCAAAGTCCAAGACAACTACAGAGGGATGCGAGGCTGTCTTGAATCTGACGTAATTTGACAGCTCTTCACTGGACTTTGTGAACTGTATATGTGTTCTAGGTTCCCTATATAAGGAAGAGTTGGTGTTGTCACACCAACATTCCTTACCACTTCCTGGAACACCAAAACATTTTTAGAAATGATTGCCTGAGTTATTCTTCTAAATCCATGAACTGTCAGCTTAGATGAGTGGTATGGGGTTGTTTGGTTTTTTCAGTTCCTGTTATCTGTCCTTGATCCATTAGTCACTTAGCTATTCATCTAACTTTTATTCCTAAATGAAGTTACTTGAGCTTCATGAACAAACTTTTGTACAGTGGATGAGAAGACCAAATGAAACATACATAAGATGTAAAATATATTTAACTAGCTTATAATGGGGATAAGGAAGAATACATGTATATATATTTTTTATATAAATGTGTGTGTGTGTATTTTACAGAAACTGGGGGAGAACTGGACATAGTGGTTACTTCTAATAAGGAGGTGAAAGTTGCAGCAATTCGAGATGCCTTTCAAGAAGTCTTTGGAATGGCTGTTGTTACTGGAGAGGCTGCACAATCCAACATCGCTCCTCAGCCTGTGGGCTATGCTGCAGGTTTAAAAGTAAGTTGATATGTAACAGTGCCTAAGTACCTCCAGTGCAAAGAGAGAGTATGGAGACATTCACGCAGAAGAATCTGTTAATATATAAAGGGAAGGTCAATTTCATAGGTTAACATTTCCTTTTTTTCTTCCCCCCCACCCCATTGCTATGTAAGTCATTAGATCAGTTTAAATCTGCTTGTTCAAAATCGTTTTGGTGTTTAATTTGCAAACACATTCATAGTAAATGAAGAATATGTATTTTTTTATGACAATTATACCGTATTGATTGCCATCACATCTGGCACACATTGTGCTACTACTGTACTTTCAAAGTGTATCAAGTGTTTCTCTTAGTCTATTACTACAACACTATGTTGGGGATATTAGGAATTAGAAGAAACTCTTTAGTTGTCCTCTCACAAATTCTGCAGATCAAAGATAGTCTGATCAACACTTATCAGGTGTCTTCCCAAACAGGTCTGTGTTATGGTTAAAAAGTAAAAATTCAGTGTGCAGCCTTGCAGACAGCTGTGCTGGCCTACAGGAAGGGTTGACAAAGATTGCTTGCCCTGATCTTAAAAATGTACATGTTCAGCAGACTTATCAAAAACTCTGGAAAAAAATATTTAGTATTCAATTTCTTAAATATAAGCAAATCATTTACTCATTTAAAAGGAAGTATTTTCTCCTAACAGCTCTGGCATGGTTCACAGCTGAATAAAACCTATCCTCATAGCAATATATTAGCTGATAGAATTTTATAATTAGTTGAAGGATAATGTATATGTTCCTTTACCTGTTTAGCTGCTGCTGCATAGTAGTATTTCTGTTGCAGCTTCAGAGTGATAACAGGCTTGGAGTGAATGATTGCTACATCTTAGTTTAATACATACCACAATGAGATTCTCTCCCTTGGTCTTACAAAGATGGTCCAAAGTTGTTAAAAGATCTAAACCAAACAAATCTTAACTGCAAAAATATCAGTGTGAATAACAGAAATGTATATTGATGCTTTAATTAATACTGAAACTTGGCACAGTTACAGGTTAGGAAGTCTTTGTATGCTTATCTAGGTCTTTTTCATGGGAAAATAAAAAGCTAAAAATATTTAATGAATTTTCTCATAGTTTTAGTTCTGTTTCGGGTTCTGTTAGCAGCTTTTCATGAGCTTTGCTGTTGTTTTTTTTGTTTTCTAACTTCAAAATAAGAGATCTTCTGAAATCTGTCATATTTTCTATTTAACTTGAAAAATATGTTCTGGAGTTCTTATTACATTCAACTGTAAGCACTGTACTGTGTTGTGATTCAAAGAGAATGTTGTCTAACAGCTTGTGTTACCGTTTAGGGAGCCCAAGAAAGGATAGACAGCTTGCGTCGGACAGGAGTAATACATGAAAAACAGCCTGCTGTATCAGTAGAAAACTTCATTGAGGAACTGCTTCCTGACAAGTGAGAACTTCAAATATATTCCTGGGAGGGAAAGAAAAAAAAAAGGAATAATCTTTGTTAACTCAGGGTTCCTATGAAGAGTTGCTGGCAGTATCACTCTGAGCGGAAGAAACGAGAGAGTCTTGTCTTCAGTATTGCTTTGGCAGAATTGATTTTGATGATCACGTTCAGATTTTTGTCCAGACATCCTGAGACTTCAATATACAAAATTCTTGGCAGGTTTTTCTATGATGCTATGAATAAATATGGCCAAAAGAACGTATCGGCACACATGCCCACTCCACCAGCTTTCTTTTCTTTTGATCTGTAAGTTTCATGTATTTAAGGTATTTTAATGTGTGTTATGTATTTATATGCATACACATGCACTGTAATGGCATATATATATACATTTATATATGCAAATTTTAATTGAAAAATACTAGAACACTGATGAAACTTACTCCATTATTACTATATTTATAGTAGAGTTTATAAAATGATTATTATTCAGCTGCTGACCTGTTTTTTCAGTTGAGTTATACTCAGTACTCTAAAGTAACTTGCATGTAATTGCAGGTGGTTTGACATTGGATGTCTGATTATTGAGGATCCAATTCATGGAATTCATCTGGAAGCTTTTACCCAGGCAACACCAGTGCCTTTGCAATACGTTC